CTCGCGCAACCCTGAGAAAAGGAGCCTCCGTGTAGAGAGAAGTGACATAACTTAACTTAACTCTTGTTTGTACAGCTTGCAGCTTGATGCCAAGCACGGCTCAATTGATCAGCGCTTTGGCAGCTCTTGGATACCTCCTCAACCACAGCAGCGTTTTTGCACATTTATATACGCTCACCACAGTGTCATCGATTTCATGCTTCGGCTTTTCATTTGTGCGTTGGGGGTGGGTCCTTTGGTGAGCTCATGGCAGTGGCAGTGAGGTAGGTAAGGTCAGGATCGTTAAGGTGTTTGCAAGCCTGGGAAGGTGGCGCCATCCCACCAGACATGGGCCTATAATTTCATCAAAGTGGTGTGTTCCAGCGATCTGACGTTCTTTCACCATGACTGATCCTTTCACCCGAGACTAGGTGTGTCGTGACCCAGAGTTTGCCGCATTGGAAACTTGACCAACATCGGCTTTTTCTGACACGAAAGACCTGTCTCGCAGATAATGAGGAGGCGATGTGTATCGACTCAAAATCGGCTCCAGCCAAGATCAACTCTCAGTTGTGAAGTATTGTTGCGAGCACAACTCTCATTGCAAGCTGGGCAACATTTGCCAACCATATTGATTTCAAGGCTTACGCCTAACAGCGGGCCGGGCAGGCAAGCAGGGCAGGTGCAAGTAGTATCTGGTGTGCTCGCTCTTCTGTTCTATGGAAAAAGAATAGAAGGAGGGCAAGCAGAACCACAAAGTGCTAATAGTGCAAAGTCACTCCGGTAGCATATCTCGCACAACGGCATGGAAAACGACCTCGCATACATCAACATATCCATGAAGCTATATGTGGGTCCAGCTGATATTATTTCACCAAAAATGCCTGTCAACGCTCTCCCCAGTGGCCTGCGAAATTCGAGGTCCCACGAAAAAGCATCTGGCTTACCTGGGATAGAGGGAGCGCGTCCGGTGGTGCCAGGGCTTGCCTTGTGAAGTCACACAAGAAATGCGAAGATGTACTCGTGAGCAAAGCCAGATAGCTGAGGCCCTGGCATGCGACACCACCTTTGACACGGTGAGTGTGGCATGAGCTTTGCACAATGAAGCCCTCAAGAAATGTCTGTCCTGTCCCGGCAAACCTGACTTAAAGCTCTTTTGTCATCACACATGCAGGGGCAGGGTAGACTGTAGCTTCCACTCTCTGCACCGCATCGGAAGCCATTGCTCCCAGTCACTAGCCAATGTGCTGCACCAAAAATGTCAACTTTCACGGGCGTTAAGGGGCAGGGTAAACTGTAGTCAATGCGCTGCACCTAAAAATGTCAACTTTCGAGGTTCCAGTAGTCGTCCTCAATGACCTGGATGGGCGCCACCACCTGCACCTCCATTTTGCGTGGAATGTCAAGCTTGCTATCCAAATTTATGGCCCGAATGGGTGACGCTCCCTATTAATTTGCGCGAGAATCACTCACTTCCTGTCAGGTGTCAAACACGCTGGCCCTGGAGGTTTCAACGCGGCGGTAGCCTATACGGTAGCTTTGAGGCAACGCCAAAACCTCAGTCCCGCCACAGTGAAACACCCTGGCCGTGCGGTTTGAAGTGCCTTCAGAGTCCCATAGAGACAGTAGTCTAACCTGCGCAAAGCAGCCTGCGGCCTCTGTGTGGCATGGCCCCCACGCCAAACCTCAGTCTCGCCACAGCAAACACCCTCGCCCTAGAGGCTTTAACGGACTGAGAGCCCCGTAGAACCGAGGCGGCCTGGCCTGACTGGGGAGCGACCTGTCTGATCTGACATGGCCCTGCCGCAGAGACGCAGCGAAAAGTCAGGTCGGAGGTCGTGAAGCTGTCGCTGCGAGGGCGCTTCGCAATCTAGCAAGACTAGCTTCCCAATGGCTCACCGTGCTATTGTTGATCAATCTGACTCCACAGAAACTTGTGCCGGGCGCCGTTGTGAGGGTGCCAGACGGCAGCTTCGCGACCCAGTGCAAGGTGACGGCCAGATAGCGGAACCTTGGACCCAGTGAAACAGCATAGGCTGAGGCCACAGCCAAAGCCACTGACTGACACAGGCGACCGTTCCGCCTTGCGGTGTCCCAGGCGCCGCCCCGGCTAGTAGGCTAGGGGTCAGCTAGGCCGGGGTCGGCGGATTTGTTCTTTGCCACCACGTTTTTTTGGCAGACTCATTGTTGCCCAGGCTCGTTTCAATCTTTGGTTGTTTCTGTGAGCAAAGGTGAAAACAAGGTGTTGGTGTTAACGCCACCAAACTGCACCAAACTGCGCCATCAAAGCCAGATGGAGTCGCACCAGAGTGATCGTCGTTACCAACTGACAAGTTTCCGTGTGGAAAGCCATGTGCTGTCGACGCAGCCCCTCTTGTATGTCACCGCAAAGCGTTGCACTCTTGCAGGGTCCAACGCTACCATGAACTCTAAGTCTACCATGTCTGAGGTGGGGAGGGTGATCTCCAGCGCCCTTGCTTAGCTGTTTGCAGCTCCAAAGCACAGCCAACCACGCTGGCAATGGGATGATTGATGTTGTATAAACCAGTGTGTCCAAAAGGCTTCGCTTCGTTCCAGTTTTCAGCTCTGTTGACCTTGTCCATTCCTCCCGCGACCTGTTGAATCTAAGAAACAATGCATGCCGGAACCAGTCACACACTTCCAAAAACAAACTCTGGGCAAAGACCTGGCTGTAGACACATTTGAGATGCGAAAGGTCTAAACATCAAGTAGACATGTTTTTAAGCTTTGATGAAGTCCTGTGACGGGCTCTGCTCTTCGGCTGGATGGAATAAAATGGCATCATGGATTCGCTATGGAATTGGTCAGAATTAAGTCGGGAAATGGGGGGTTAAATGTGCTGCTGCTGCTGCTGCTGGTGATGATGATGATGATGATGATGATGATGCATGGTCGGAATAAGGTTTGCTTGAAGACAGTTGTTTTGATGCGTGGCGATTGACGAGTCCAAACACTTGCCACTTCAGGCACCCACCAGGATCTGCCTGCTGTTTGTGTGGTTTTTGAAACCATCATGCAAATGTTGTGTACCACTTGTACCTTGCAGGCCTGGAAGAAGGAACACAAGTTCAACTATGTCAAAGCTCCTGGTGGCAGACTGAAGACGCAGCAGGCACACAACCAACATGTACGAAGCCGGATCATATCTAGTTTTTTGCATGGATTGTTCTTGGCTGAGGTGATTGAGGCAGTGAACACCCACTTGGAGCAGAAACCACCGACGAAAGAAGTTTTTGTAGCTACTGGAGTCGGCAATCATCAGATGATGTCATGCCAGTTTATACGGTGGAAAAAGCAGCAGGCTCAGAGTTGCACTGCCTGTCGAATCTGTTGTGTCACTATCCAAGAGGTACCCTCCTGGGGCCGGGTGGTAGATACTCGCAATGCAAAACACCTCTTCCACCAGCAACCTTCACTTTGGCTGGGTGGTGTTGGGTGGGTCCACGACAATTGCATCCTCAACTTGCATCCGTCTTTGTTTGAACGCGTCAATCCAGAGCCCCTGCCTTTCTTTCGCCTGTTCGGCTCTGGTCATTGCATAGCCTTTTCTGTCTTTTCAGACACCCACGCTCAAAGCACTCTGGCATACTTACTTGGCCAGAACCCCACTTGAAAACGCTTTGGGTCAGCAACCAAGCAGTGCTACTGAACTGAACTGTTCGAGAAAACATCCTCTGGTAGTATGCAAAAGCACTCGTGTGCTCTCTGTCATCATCCCAACTACCGGAAAGGGCCGTAGTCCACGGGACATTGTTGAATCTACAGCATTCTTATAACTGCTCCACATATGACACATGCTCTTCACGTCTTGATCTCCACATCTAAGACTGCTCTAAGACTGCTTCCAGCTTCCTGAACTGAGGGGCTAAGCGCATTTTGGGCTTTCTGCAACACCCCAACCTCTGAAGAAACTTCCAGCGTGCCAGCAAAGTACGACAAAATGCCTTGTAACCTTGAACTTGTTGAGTCAAAGTAACAGAGCCATAGGCCATAGGCAAGCATTTGCCTTTTCTTTTCTGCACATTGTCTTGTCCTTTTCTTGGTGTACTTTACATGAGCCTTTCTTCTGTTTGTATTTGCTCTTGCTTCTCACATGCACATCTTTTGCAGCTTTCGTGACAACGCTCGACTTCCCGATCTCGCCCAGCTCCACAGTCTTTTCCTTGCAGCACGTGTTAAGCACGTCTCCGCACGAAGTCTCTGCAATGCACCGAGGAGGGGACCGTTTCCCTTTGCCTCTTTGGAGCAACGGCATATGCAAACACAATATATGACTGAATGGCACGTCACTCTGACTATAGTTTCTGCGCGGGCTGAAATGGTTCGTTTGGGTCCATGTCAAACTTTGACCTTGAGTGCATGCTTGTTGGCTTGGCCTCCACAGCCAAATTGACGCACAGTGTGCAAGACACGTCAAAGAAAGCCCGAGAGCCCGAGGCCTCGTACTTTCATTACAAGTGGGAGCTTGGGCGTCATGGGAGCGGGCCTACCCTTCGCCATTGGAACCCAGGTGCCGCATAGTTTAATAGTTTGTCGACTCTGGGTCTTTTCCTTCAAAATGCCGCATGGCGACCATAAAAGGTATTGTCATTCAATATCTTGGGAGTTTGGTGCAGGTGGCCAATCCAGATGCTCTCACGATTCTAATTGATGGGGATGGTTCCTTCGGCATGACCAACATGGACTTGCAGACCGTCAAAAGGTGGGCGGGTTCTGTCTCCAACCTAATAGCTTCCAACCTAGAAGCGATGGCCTCCAACCCAATAGCCGCGATGGCCTCCAACCTGTATTCCATTCTACTTGGCTTCTCATTGATCCCTGTATTGTGAAGGTATAAGCTCCCCATCAAGATTGCAATCATGAACGATGATAGGCGCTTGGACAACCTGCAGTTGCAGCTGTGTGATGCTTCCTTTTGCAGTACGGCTTGATGCAAGCTTGCTTGTACAGGCAGCAAATGGTTTGGATTTGGCAGCGCCTTTTCTTTGAGGGTCGCTACATCAGCGCCGCATGACTCAATGTTGTTTCTGCGACAGGGCTGCTCATGTCATGGTGTATCACAATGACGTGTGTGAGGTAACGAATGACAATCCTGATTTCGTAGCCCTTGCGCAGGCTCTGGTTTGTGTGATTTGTGTGGTACACTTCTTGCTTACTTGAGAAAGCCCCACACTTTGGGTTTGCTTGAAGTTTGATGCATGGTCGACACCTCCCTTTGACTTACTGCCTTCCTTTGTGACAGGTGCAGGAATATTGGGACCCCTAAAATACTGAATGGCACACCTTGGTCCGGTTGGTTGATGGCTAACAACAGGTTATACATATATATATATATAAGCAGAAAGAGGGCGGAACAAATGGAGGTGGTCAAAGATCATACACCCAACAGGCTGTGAGGAGACCGGACTTTATATTGTGGAAGAATGTGGAACAAATGAAAGGTCAAAGCTGCTGGCTGCTGACATTTGCAGTGAAATGCCGTAGCTGAAATGATCAGACTTGGCATTCCAACATGAACTGGCTGGTTGCCCGTGCTTTGGAAAGTGCCCATATCAACCAGCGACTCAAACCAAATCTGATATAGAGGAGGAAATGCATCAGCTTATCAACATGCCGTCAACAAGGTGGCCAAAGCCAGATACAGTCAATGGAAGCAGAAATCCCTGACACTGGATTCGAGGTTGCCAAACCTATTCAAGGGCCTCCGTGGGGCTCATTTGTGACATCAATGAATGCAACTAGTCTTAGTCAACAAATCTGGATTTTTTGCTAAATCCAGTTTCTACTGTTATCCATCTGGATTTTCAATATCTGTGAAACTTTTAACTTGACAACATGGATGTCGAAGTGAATGCTTGCAACGATGTCAACGCCAAGCATTTTTCAATAACCTAGTTTTCTTCCATCACCTTGTCAAGTGATTCAGCGTAGCATTCGGCTTCCAGGATAGACATTAAAGGACCGAGACGAGGCCGCAAACCTTAGTACTAGTAGCCCCCAGTAGCTACTTGCTCCTAGTAGTATGGCCAGGAGCCCCTAGTAGCGTCCTTGCTTCAAAGGCAAGCCCCCAGCCCAACTTTAGAGAAGCAAAAGTCACGAGGGTGATGCCTGAGGGAATGAGGCGATGCTATAGTATGGATTCCAAGTCATGCATGTGCCACGAACTTTGCAAAATTGTTCACTACTACTCTTGCTTGTTCAAAGTGCATGGAGGTGACAAGAGTGAAACTATATAAGATTCATTGTGATTCTATATGACAACCGAGGGGCTTTGCATGAGACACGCATACACAGGTTGCAAATGGACGCTGTAGACAGACACAGGGCTCAGGTTGTTGGATTGTTTTGAGCCAGAAGACAATCAGTTTTTGCTGACTTCCAGGTGTACTGGATACATATATACCTGGCCACCGCGGCGAATGTTGGTTGGTTCTGGAATCCGTATACAGTAGTGTTTATTTGTTCTTCATCCCACACTCAACACATCCCAAGTCTTACCGAGTCCCTTGCTCGTTTCTGCAATAGACTGTGGCATTCTCAAGATGCCTGTGCCTGAACCGGAGGCCTATGGAATCAAAGCAGTTCACTGTGACAATGAGGCAGACCTGCCCAAGGCTGGTTGAGAGTTTCAAGCTGTTTCAATCATTTTTGCCTATGCATGATTTTGGAGGTTATCGAGGAATGGCTAACATCTGATGGGCCAATGCTCGTCGATTTCAAAGTGGTTTGGAACTCGATTGTGCCGAAAGGGCGGCATTTGAGAGCGATGGTCTGCCATTGCTAGGTGCCAGATATTTGCTTGCCAATGGTGGCGCCTGGCAAGGTCTGCCAGAACATGTCATTTGTTTGCAGCGCCCATTTGGCCGGGCATTTGATGAAACATCCAGGCTCTTGATGAGATGATTCTTTTACAAGACAGAGACGCCGTGTTGGGCACCGAAGAGGACATGTGGGTTTGGATCAATGCAGTCTCAAATAGCTTTTTTGGGGGGATTCCGTGGGATGCTTAGAGATACCCTCAGTTGAGCAATTTATGGATCTCCCCCACTTCCCACAGATTTCTTACCTTGGAATGGAGATCGAAAAAGATCGAAAGAGTTACAGAGACCCGCAGCAGTTCGTGTGAATCTAAACATTTATCACTGGAAGTTGCAACGAAAGAGTGCATGCAATCATGTGGGTATGCTTCACCTGTCCACTTCAGTCAGCATAACTTACACGACTTCCGAGCGACTGTCCATGGCACTCATCAGTATTATAGCTTCACTATATGTTATATATACTTGTTTCTTTTGTGTGGCAAATGCAATTCAAGTAGGGCTGATTTGTATGTTTGCAGAAATCCAAGGTTGGTGAGTCATTGCTGAGTTGGTTCAGAACTGTTTGTGTTTTGTCACTGTAAACGTAGCTAGCCACTGAACAATTTGCTGCCTGGACTGTAGCAATATGTCACCTGTCAGTGACAGCGTAACAACATCCTTCACAGCAGCTAGCCGCCCTGCAATTTATAAGCTTATTATCCATTTGTCAATCACCAGCGAGGCTCGATGCCCACAAGCAGACATTGTTTCTTGAGGCGAAGCTTCTCACGCATTAGAACATTTACAGCGCCTCACCAAAAGTAAAGTGACTTGCATCATAACAAATCGACGTATCCCGGTGAATCAAACTCAACACACATGCTTGCAAATCTCTTGGTAGACTTGGTGACATGATCATAAGTTGCACAATTGTTGTACTGCACACCTCCTTAGTGGCACCGCACATCAAACCTTCAAGCGACACATTCCAGTGCACACCACCCGAACTTCACTGCCACACTGGACTTGTTCTTTGACATTTGCACTCTGACAGCTGGAGGCATGAAACTGCGAGAGTTTGCAAGAGTTTCTGCTTTGGATGACTTGTGACGCCAGGAGTTGGGAAGCATGAAATTTGAAGGTCTTGCACCCTCTTAAAAGGCAAGGCTCACAGTAGAGCCGAACAGCTTTCCCTGGAAAGCTGTAGAGGCAACTCTTGTGGGAAGGGAAGACAAGGAGGACAAATCATTGTATTTCGACGAAGGACCATTTCGCCTCCTGGATGTTTCCCTTCCATCTTGCTCCCTGATCTCTGTCATGAATTGATAAACAAGGAAATTCTAAGACGGGAGACATATTGCAGTGGACTTTTTCAATCACATTTCAATACGTTGCTACTTATCATTGCATTCTTGATCTTTTGCACGGCTAGAAGGCATAGTCCCCTAAAGGTTGCCGGAATTCAGCGCCTTGGACGTTCCGAGGGTACGAATGCCACCTGCATGATGCTCTAGGCTCTCACTTTGAGGTGCTCGCTCATGCCCCTAATGGTTCGAGGCACACAGGTCCTCGTGGCACTGCCAAGGGATTTGCAATCGAATATATGCCAAGATGCAACGGGATATGCCAGACGTTGCTGCTGCAGTGCCAGGGAGTGGCAGGATCCAGCACAAAGGGTGCTGGCTTGTTCTCCTTGTACAGGCTTCAATCTTTCATGGTCAATGTTTGGACAAATGACAGACAGCCAGAAACACAGGTGCTTTTCCCAGTCTTGAGGGTTTTGAGCCTATGTCTTTCTCGCGCAATATTTTTAACCATTAGGACAATGTTGAGTTAGGTTCGGATTAAGCCAGAGGTCCTACGACCTGTGCGTTCAGAGAGGAGACAAAAAGTGCAACATCATCCGCTAATTTCTTCTTGATATTGTGCAAGCTTTGTCAACGTGATTGTGGACTTGAGCTGGATTTGTGCAAAGCATTTGTGCTCAGCGAGAAATTCGTCCAGTTTGCGTAGACAATGCCAATATCCGTGCTTCCGGCGCCTTGCACGATCAGTGCCCTTGTACAGTTCGGACATCCAGCAGCACAATACATCCGCAAGGCAAGAATCAGAGCTGATACGATTTTCGATTTCCTTTTTTCTTTCTGCTTGCTTCTTGCTTTCTTGAAGCCTATCCCTCAAGCCCTTATAGGGAGTTTGTACTCAATTCATCTGGGAGATGGCAACCTTGTTGGTGGATGAGGATGATGCCTTCGCGCAGGGACGGTAGTTTTCTTTCCATTCCTGAAGCCCATCAAGCACTGCCGAATGTCAACACTATTGTCTTCAACATTGCACTGCACGCATACAACTCCAAAATGCAACATATGTTTCCTATGCACATTGAAGATCAGTGAACAAAAATGAGCAAAATGGAACGTGCCTTGCCGGCTGTGTCTCTGCTCAACCATCCGGAGTCTTCTTTTCGTTTGCCGTTCCTTGTGCTGTGGTCGCAGAAATGTCAATGCGACACTGAGTTTACTTCATCACGCGAAGCTATTCTGGTTGGCTTGGGCAGCACAACAGGGATTGAAGTCGCATTCCTGCAGATGTGTTATGTTGACGATCCTCAAAAAGGGATGCAAGAATCGAGAATGTTACCAAGTGTGTGTGTGTGCCCCTTGTAGTCACAGGGATTTGTTTGAATTGTTTTTCCTTTTTATCAGCAGGGGGACTGCCTGACTCTTAACAGCGGCAGTCCAACGAAGAGGCTGTTTTGAGTCACTGACATGGATTCTGGACGCAGAATCCACGTACCTGCAACAACTTTTAAGTTTCCGTAAAGGGCTAATGCAACTGCAGTCACGCACGGAACGCCGTCAACCTGTCGGTTCGTTTTCGCTCTGAGCTGTTGGCCCTACTTCCTCTTGCAGACCCCCAGGCCCCTTTAGGATTTTCCTGGACTTTTCAGGATTTGGGTTTCTTAGGCTGGCGCGTGGCACCGCTGTCAGTCAGTATGCATATCCATAAGTGTGTCTCTCCCAGTGAGAGTCCGGGATGAGCCCGTAGAGTCCCTCCCGTGGACCCGTCGAACGGGTGTTTGTCGTTATCTCCCCTGCCTGGAGATGTACGTGTCCGCAGCGGACAGTAGCTGGCTCATGCCACCAGAACTCAGATTTTTGTCTCATTTTTGGAATTCCAAGTTGGCTCATGCCTTTACGTTACCGCAGCGGTCAGAGGTGGCCGCCCTCGGGCATGCCGTACGTGGTCGCAGCGACCGAAGTTTGTTCAAGGTTCATTGGAACCTGTCGGCTTCTTAGGTGCACACACATTGTACACACTCAAACGAGGCAGGTCTTCCTAGGTCGTTGCAATGAGGTCTGGTTTCATCGGTTCCCATCCCCTCCATTTGGTTCCCCTTTCCTCCCTTCCCCTTCACACACTTTTGTTTCCTCTTTTCTTTCATGTCCTCCTGTCTTCATGTCTGGTCATCTCATCCCTTTCTTCGTTTGCGCGCACATTGGTCCCGGCCTTAGTGTGCACGTGCACTTCTACATACATTTAAACACAGGCTTCAGGTCGCCCAGGTCTTTACAATGAGGTGGGCTTCATCGGGTGTCCCTGTGCACCTGGTTCCCCTTTCATTTCAACCACACGCACCTTTGTCCCGTCTCGTCCTCCTGTCATGTCTTCACTCTTTTGTCCGTTGTGCGCGCGCGTGCACATTTGCCCTCACCTTAGCTTTACGCCTCCCCTCGGGGAGGCGTGTGTGTGTGTGTGTGCCCCTTGTAGTCACAGGGATTCGTTTGAATTGTGTTTCCTTTTTATCAGCAGGGGGACTGCCTGACTCTTAACAGCGGCAGTCCAACGAAGAGGCTGTTTTGAGTCACTGATATGGATTCTGGACGCAGAATCCACGTACCTGCAACAACTTTTAAGTTTCCGTAAAGGGCTAATGCAACTGCAGTCACGCACGGAACGCCGTCAACCTGTCGGTTCGTTTTCGCTCTGAGCTTTTGGCCCTACTTCCTCTTGCAGACCCCCAGGCCCCTTTAGGATTTTCCTGGACTTTTCAGGATTTGGGTTTCTTAGGCTGGCGCGTGGCACCGCTGTCAAGTCAGTACGCATATCCATAAGTGTGTGTGTGTGTGTAACCCTTGGAATCATAGGGATCCTTTTGGATTTGTTCGGTTTGCCTTTTTGCTTTTTAGCCTTTGTCAAAGCAGGGGGACCATCCATGTACTGTGCGCGATGGTCCAACGAAGCGGCCACAGTACATGCGGATATCACGGCTGATCACCGTGACGTACCTGCTCGTTTTGACCTGGAAATTCCCAATGGTCCCACAACAAGATTCTGGCTTTTGCATCGGTTTGCTCTCGGCAGTCACGCATAGGGCTTTGGTCTTTTGGAGTTGCTGGCCACCTGAAACCTTTGGGACCTCCGCTGGATGGACCTCCTCTTCCTTTTTAGGTTTCCTTACCTGTACCCTTAGGAAATGGAACCCTAGGCCGGCGTGTGGCACCGCTTTCAGTTCAGTACACCCTATCCTAAGTGTGTTTGGCCTCGTGCCAACCCGGGATGAGCCCGCAGAGTGCCTCCCGTGGACCCGTTGAACGGGGGTACGTCGTTATCTCCCCTGCCCGGAGATGTAAGTGCCGAGAGCGGGCGAAGGTGGCCTAGGCCGAGAGAACTCCGATTTTGTCTCATTTTAGGAATTCCAAGCTGGCTTATGCCCTTACGTGACCGCAGCGGTCGAAGCAGCCAGCCATTTCGGCAAGGCACAAGGTGACCATAGCGGTCGAAGCCAGTTTCTAGGTTCATTGGAACCTGTTGGAGCCTTAGTCTTTCAGTTCTTCCACTCCCTCCTCTCGCCATGTTCCCTTCTCCGGCTGGTCTCAACCCCGTGGAGGGCATCACGATGAGGGCCCAGACTATTCTCCATCGAGAAATTCTTCACCTACATGGCCTGCTGATCCTCGCTATTTCACTCCTTCGTACTCGCTTTGCTATCCTTTCCCCCTCCTTTATGGACTACATTACCTCACCACACCTTCAGGTGCAAATTCGAGGACTTGATTCGGCGATTCGCCAGGCGACTCAGGCAGTTCATACTGAGTGCACTACATTCAGGAACTCCTCACTACCTTTGGCATGATGCACGCCTTGAACTGCGACGCTGCTCAACTGGATGCCGAACTACGTGGACGCTCGGTTTTTCCTGACCCTCACCTTCTTTCCGTCCCTCCTCCTCCTTTGCATGAGCTCTCCTACGACTCGACGTATGACATCTACCAGTTCCACTCCGGCCGAACCAACGATCCCTCCACCGAGGAATCCTACAGGTCGTTCTCCGCCTGGCATCGTGGTTACCACTTCGAACCGGACTCTCTCCACCGCCGAGTTACGATCCAGCACTACTCGTTCTCGCTCTCGGTCTCACCCTCGTACGTACCCGAGGAATCTCTAAACTGCTCCTTTGTTCATTGCGCCACTCACGAGAAAATGTCCACCCACTCTTCCTTTTGTAATGCCATTTTGTTCATTTTGATTTGTGACACAATCTCTGGACTTATCACCTGTTACTTTCGACCCTTTCAGCTTTCAGCCTTCCCCACGCCCTACGCCCTTTCGGTCCCGCACGTTTTGTTTCGTCTCGCCGCCATGTCTGCACCGTCTACGACGACGCCGACTCCCCCTACAGGCTTGGCACCAGTCACCGGCTTACCTCCTGCCGCTCATGCAGTACTACATCGTGAACTCCTTCATATACATTCTTCTTTACATTTGATTCTCCTGATCCTACGTGGACCTTGGGATACCGTCACTCCATCCATTGTGGACACGATCACTAGTCCTCGTCTTCGTACCACTCTTCGCGCCCTTGAGACCAGCATTGAACAGATTCGACGATCTACCTGCACTACACTGGTATACACGGATGAACTATGCTCAGCTTTGGCACTTCCACATCCTACTGGCCGCTTGGTTTCTTCTCCCAACTCCTTTTCTTCATCTATGGCCTTCCCTCGCTTTCTCATCTCTCCTCCTTCTCCACCCTCGACGACTACGACGACGACTACCACTGACCCATCTCCTCCTCAGATTACTCACACTCTCCTCCTTCGAATCCTGCTTTGACCTTGACGCGAATGCCACGTTCTCGCTCACCTTCTCGTTCACGATCCCCTACGAGACGATTCCGATTTTAGATGGATTTCTCACTTGCCCGACCACTTTTGGGTTTCGGAAGCAAAGAAAAGAATTCCTTTTGTCTCCTGACGTTAGCTTGATCACCACTTTTGGAACTCTTCGACATTGATACTCCATTATTCTGTCCCTATTCTTGGGCTCACCAGCGACCGCTCGTTTCGCCCCCTCGTTTCTCGCCGCCTTTTCTGCCATGGCTTCGACGCCCACACCACCTTGTGGTCTAGCTCCGATTTCAAGCAATGCTACATCGTGAACTTCTACTTGTACATGTTCTCTTGGCCCAGATCCATTCACTGCTGCATATCCCGCTCAGCATTCGTACCCTTCCATTTATGTATCGGGTGACACACCCACAACTTCGAGCTCAACTTGAAGGATTGGACAATATGCTCCTTCTTGCCCTTCGCCTCAACCACACTGCCGTGCACTACACCCACGAGCTCCTCACTGCCTTGGGCCTCCTTCATATCATTCAACAGAGTCCGGAACAACTTGAAGACGAACTCGCAGGTCGCACAGACTTTGGCGATCGCGCATCCCCCTCTACGCTTCCTGCTCTACCCCACTCTACTACGACTTCATCGAGGACTACCAGGACCCACAACACTGCTGACCGGACGCCTCCCTCTTCTGACCCTCCGCCCTCTCGCCTTGTACCTCGGCCTCGTCTTCACATGCGCTCGAGATCTCGCTCTCGACCTCGTTCGACCAGGTCCTAACTTCTTTGTTTCACCCTGTACTTTGCCAGACGCAGCAAAAGGGACAAGCTACTCTTGGCTTTATTTTGATGACACCTTCGTTTCACGTTTGATCTGTACCTTATCATTACCTTTCCTTCACATGTCATTTTTGGGCTCCAGACTTTGGGACATGAGTATCCACGAGATGATTATCCATCCTTCACATCT